CACGGTGCACGGTGGCAATCAGCTGATGATCCGTCTGATCCGGGCCAAATTCTGGATTCCAAGGATGAGGAATTTGGTCAAGTCCGTCGTCTATTCTTGTAAGGTATGTGTCATCCACAAGAAGAAGTTGCAAACGCAACTCATGGAAAGCTACCCAAGGAACGGACGTCTTTCTCGCGCCCATTCACGTACACCGGTGTGGATTATGCCGGTCCCTACGAGATAAAAAACTATCCGGGGAGGGCCTGTCTCATCACAAAGGGTAATGTGTTGGTGTTTGTGTGCCTCTCCACTAAGGCCATCCATTTAGAGCCTACGTCGGACCTTAGGTTAGGTTAGGTTGAGGCGGCGATGAGGGGCCTGTCTCTTCCTCTTCTTCGTCTTCACAGCTCCTGCAGTAGTCATAATGTGGCACCGCTAGTCTAGCCGCGTGTGCTTCTATTAACCAATGTCCTGTAATGGCCTTGATCGCCAGACTACAGTCCTGCCTATTTAAGGCGATAAGCATCATTGACCTCTTCCTAGATCGGATGGGCCATATGATGCGGGAGTTCCTGCAGTTTTGGAGATTTCTCCATTTCCCCAGTGATGCGCGGTCAAAGTGATCCCTGCATTTTAGCCTACACGTAGCTAAGGGGATACCTACTCGTTCCTTCTCCGATAGGAGAGGATTGGTAGTACCTGCTCTTGCTAGTTCGTCGGCGGCGCAATTACCCTCGTGGTCCCTATGTCCGGGCACCCATATGAGGTGTATGTCATGCTGCTCTGCCATCTCGTTAAGAGATCTGCGACAGTCATTCACTGTCCTGGAGTTGGATGAAAGACCGTCAAAGGCTTTGAGTGCCGCTTGACTGTCTGAGAAGATACAGATTGTGTCCTGATTTCCAATAAGTGCTAGGGATCTGAGTGCTTCTCCGATAGCTATTACTTCTGCTTGGAAAACACTACAGTGGTCGGGGAGTCTGAAGGACTCATTTAAACACAGCTGTTCGCAATGGAAACCACCTCCCACCTGGCCATTCAATTATGAACCGTCTGTGTAGATATGGAGGGAACCGGCTGGTCCCGGGATTTGTGTGGCCCATTCCTCCCTTGTTGGGATGTAGACCTTGTATTTTAAGGTGGTGTGGGAGCCGGCAATGAGCGGCGATGTCATGCAGGAGAGCGGCGAGAATGGCAAGGAGAGCGCGAGCGGAGTGACAGAGCAGGGGGAGAGTTAGTTGTAATTGACCGAGCGTGCGGAGCAGACGCGACCCGATTATTACTTAAATAAATCAATTGTTCTATAATCTATATTGGAAATAACCTGTCCTTATTGAGGGGGAACTTACGGGTTACTACATTGGCGACGAGGTAAAACTGTTTTTCAAAAATATATACAAGAAATAGCAATAATTAATCTCATTTAAACGTACATGCATGTATGTATGTATGTAAAACGAAAAACTGCGTATGGCAGTGCCATCCCAAAAAAAAAAAAGGGGAACGGAAAGAAGAACCATAATGTATAACATAAATGAGATTAGTAATTGTTATACTTGTAAAGTTCAGCGCAAAACCAAATTACGAAACATAAGTAAAAAGAATACAAAAAAAAAACAATAAAGAGAGGCTGAGTTTTAAACAAGCCAGATAACTTAAGAGAAATTGACTCTGAAAAAAAAGGGCTGAGTGAAAGATGTACATTTTTGCAAGCCGCATGTGTATGCATGTGTAACTATGTATGTACGCAGGTGAAAACGTGCATAGGAAAGGCTGTGCGGAAGAGTTTTGTTTTCCGTAAGCTGTATAATAAATGGACTGCGTGTAAATACAAGTCGAAAGAGGGTGCGTGTAAACAAGCCCAAAAGAACAATTTTTAGTAAAGGCTGTGCGGAAGAGTTTGGTCTTGTGTAAGCTAGATAACTATAAAAAAAGAGAGGCTGCGTAAAAACCAGCCCAGAATTTCAAGTCTAAAATGAAATTTGGTTTCGTTGTCTAAAATCTAGCAAACACAAACGCACGACCTCAGGATGGCGGAAAATTATTTAAAACCATTCCTATGTGAAGCGATTGAGAAATCGGTCCTTCGAAATGAATGGGAGAAATGGTTTAGAGCGTTCACTATCTCGATGGAGGCTGAACAGATCGTGTCACCCAAAATGAAGAGAACTAAACTCCTTCACGTAGGTGGGGTACAATTGCAAGCTGTCGCGTTCTCATTACCGGGTGCACTGGTAGAGGATGACAAGGACGGGGAGATCGACATCTTCACTGTTTTGGTCGAGAAATTAAATGCCTACTTTTCGCCGAAACAAAATTCAACGTTTGAAAGGCATCTATTTCGAAGTATATCACCACATGAGTCAGAGAATTTCTCAAAGTTTATTTTACAACAAATGTATAAATGTTCTTTCGGCCAATCTAAAGTGGAGATTGAGGAAATCTGCTTAAAAGACAAAATAATTGATTCGTGGGCGCCGCTTGAGCTAAAGAAGAAGCTCTTGGGTAAGGAATACTCCTTGGACGAAGTTATTGAAGCGTGCCAGGTCGAGGAACAAATAAGCAAACAATCTGAAGCCATGCTGACGAAACCTATCACTAGCGATTCAATCAATAAAATTACTGCTCGGAAAATAAGGCCAAATCTGGAGTGTTCGAGATGTGGTCGAATGGGGCATGCAAATAGCGATTTCTCCTGTCCGGCCCGAGCTGCTAAATGTAACAAATGTTCCAAAATAGGTCATTTTGCACGACAATGCAGAACAGCACAATATGCTCAGCCGAAACACGAAAATAGGAAGCGCCGCCGAAATGATATTCGTTGTGTGGAAGATGAGAGCGCTGATCCCAAACGGAAGAAGGAATGTGCGAATTGTTTTAAGATCTACAGCGACGAAGAAGAAGAACTCATAAACTGCCAAATAGGGGGTCACAACATTGCTCTCATTATTGACTCTGGATCGAAATTTAACCTTATTAGTCAATCAGATTGGGCAAGGATTAACAACGAACCTACAGCAATCTTCAACATTAGATCACATTCTCAGAAACAATTTCGAGGATATGCTTCTGAACAATTACTTGAAGTAATTTACGTTTTTGAAGCGCCGATATCAGCTGTGCCGGATGTCGAGGTGATTGCAACATTTTTCGTAATTAAAAATGGACGGCAGTCGCTACTGGGCCGAGAGACCGCCAATGAGCTGAACGTTCTTCGGCTAGGTCTAGATGTCAATCGAGTGGAAATGACCACGCCATTCCCTAAATGGAAAGGGGTTAAAATAAAGCTATGGATTGACCCCAAAGTCATTCCAATTCAGCAGCCAGTTCGAAGAATCCCGGTGGCACTCGAGGAAAAAGTTGCCGCTAAGCTGGAAGAGAGTTTAAGTCGGGACATCATCGAATCAGTTACAGGTCCGAGCTCGTGGATATCCCGTTAAGGAAAACGGCGATATTCGACTGTGCATTGACATGCGTCGTGCGAATAAGGCCATTCGACGAGAAAATTATCCACTACCGACCTTTGAGTCTTTTATGCCCAAGCTAAAGGACGCAAAATACTTTTCGCGCTTAGACCTAAAAGACGCTTATCACCAGCTGGAACTGGACGAAGCCAGCAGAGAAATTACGACGTTCATAACACCAAAAGGACTCTTTCGGTACAAGCGGCTGATGTTCGGAATTAACTCGGCTCCAGAAATTTTCCAACGTCACCTCGAGCAGCTATTAGCACCCTTTACTAATGTCATGAATTATATTGACGATGTAATAATCTTTGGAGCTAGCGAAGAAGAACATGACAAGACTGTAAGAGAGGTTTGTAACACATTTAAAGAAAGCGGCGTTTTACTAAACGATCAGAAGTGCATCTGGAAAACAAACAAACTCAAGTTCCTTGGTCATATTATTTCTGACGAGGGAATCGAAGTGGACCCGGATAAAATTAATGTGATTAGAATGTTTCGAGAACCACTTAACAAGGAAGAGACTCGGAGTTTCCTAGGTTTGGTGACATACGTGGGAAAATTTATCCCAGACCTGGCAGATTACACGGATCCGCTGAGAAAATTACTGAGGAAGGACTCGAAATTCAGCTGGGGCGAAACAGAAAGAGATGCTTTTCGGAACTTAAAGGATCGACTGGAAAAAGTACCAAACCTTGTATACTTCAACCCGCTAAATCGAACTCGCCTAATAGCAGATGCCAGTCCTGTAGAACTGGGAGCGGTGCTGCTGCAGTTCTCTGTAAATACGGACCCCTTAATTATTTCATTCGCTAGTAAAGCTTTGTCGGACGTTGAGAGACGTTATTCTCAAACGTAGAAAGAAAGTCTAGCTCTAGTCTGGGCTGTTGAGAAATTTTACTTTTACTTAGCAGGACTTCATTTCGAGCTAGTGACGGATCACCATTCGCTACGAAGTAGGGCTTTATCGATATTTTAATGAACGGTATTCACATGGACGGTTTAATAAGCGTTTCCGCAATTTCTTGTAATGAGTTAATAATATTTTTTGTTTTTTTTGCTTTATTAAGGGTTTTATTTGTCCGTTCTCCCTTCCTGTATTTACTTTTAAATCACATTTCGCCTCTCGGCAGGACAGTTTTTGGCACTACTATTATGTTGACCGCGTCAACTATGTGCTTCATTGCAAATAATGGCGAAAAAAATATAAAGGCAGTAGTACTGGTATTAATAATAGTTAATAACAGTTAATTATATGAAAAAAAATTCGTTTTTTCAAGGCATATAGAAATTATAGTAGAAAAACATTTTGTTCGACCAGCACTACCAGTATATCAAAACTCATATGTATATCATATGTACATATATCAAAGCAAAACTCGCATTTTTGTTGAGTACACTCATACGCAAAAATTTCATTCAATTCAAGTCATTGGGTGAAACTCAGAAATGAATAAAAATCAGCACATGTTGTCGTACAGCTCATTCGTGTACGATGTTTAAGCGGTGGATTGTAGCATATTACAAGTGATCGAGAACAGCATTCCCCAATCAATGACTATCTCGGAAATTGCAAAGCATTCGGTAAAGGACGAAGAAATTATCGATGCAAAGGCCTGCCTGGAGTGCGACTCATGGAAACCAGGATCCCTAAAACTGCTGTACCCATTTCGATTTGAGTTATCAGCAATAGGACCCCTTCTTTTGCGAGGTAACCGAATTGTTATTCCTCAATCACTTCGGAACCAAGTGCTTGAGCTGGCTCACGAAGGACACCCGGGAGAGTCAGCTATGAAAAGGCGTCTGCGATCCAAGGTATGGTGGCCTCTAATTGATCGTGATGCAGAGAACTATGTCAAACGCTGCAGAGATTGTCTTCTGGTCTCCCAATGCCCTAGGCCAGCACCAATGGATAGGAACCCATTTCCAACAGGTCCATGGATTTGGGTAGCATCAGACATATTGGGGCCCCTACCAAACAACGAGTTTTTTATAGTGTTTATTGACTACTATTCCCGCTATATGGAGTTCAAATTTGTACGTTCAATTTCCACAAAAAGCTTAATTGAAGTAATGAAGGAAATATTCTGTAGATTAGGCTACCCAAAATACTTAAAAACTGACAATGGACGGCAGTATATAAGTCAAGAATTCGAGGAATACTGCAAAACTTGCGGTATAGAACAGGTGAAGACTCCACCCTATTGGCCCCAGGCTAATGGGGAAGTGGAAAACATGAATCGGTCTTTGGTCAAACGGTTAAAGATAGCACACTCTAATTCAAAGAATTACAGGGAAGAAATCCAGAAATTTGTACTCATGCACAATGTTACTCCACATGGCACAACAGGAGTAGCCCCCACCCAACTGATGTTTAATAGGGTCATCCGCGACAAGGTTCCATGTATAGGTGATATTGATGAAGAGGTTTCAGACTCGGCCGAAAGGGACAGGGATTGTATGTTAAAAGAAAAAGGAAAGGAAGAGGCAGATAAAAAGAGGGGAGCACGGGAAGCCGTGATAAACGTAGGGGATAAAGTACTCTTGAAAAATGTAGTGTTTCCTAGTAAGTTGACTCCGAATTTTAAGGATACGGAATTCGAGGTTGTTGAAAAAGACAGAAACATAGTTAAAATTAGGGCAGGGGGTAGGACTCTCACGAGGAATGTATCGCACCTCAAGAAAATACCAATCAACGCAAGTCACCTGGATACATCTGGACCCTCATCGTTAAGCAGCCCTCAACCGAAGATGACATCTACTCAGGATCACCAAGACGTCGAAGCAGGAATAGGTCATCGGCTTAGACAGTCCCCAGAAGATTTGGCTCTTTTGGCTGCCCCATCCTTGAAGCTAAAACTTGTCAATAAAGGAGGGATGTGGGAGCCGGCAATGAGCGGCGATGTCATGCAGGAGAGCGGCGAGAATGGCAAGGAGAGCGCGAGCGGAGTGACAGAGCAGGGGGAGAGTTAGTTGTAATTGACCGAGCGTGCGGAGCAGACGCAACCCGATTATTACTTAAATAAATCAATTGTTCTATAATCTATATTGGAAATAACCTGTCCTTATTGAGGGGGAACTTACGGGTTACAGGTGGGGTTACAGGTGGGATTATCGACAGGTACGCAGTAGTCTGTAGACCCCGTTGGCGTGCAGTGGTGTAGATCTAACTTGGTATGTCCGTAGTCTGTCAATTTCCATGTGCCCGTCTCTCGTAGCCTGATTGCCGATAGTGTGGCCATCTTGACCCCCATTATCTCTACCGGTAATAGGCCGAGTATGAAGTCTAGTGCGTCCGTCGTTGTGGTACGTAGGCTGCCTGTGATACAGACCTCCGCCATCCTTTGCGTTTTCCTAAGCTTCTCCCTGATTGTGGAGTTGGTGAGAGCAGGCCACCAGACCACCACCCCGTAGAAAAGGATGGGTCTTATGACCGCTGTATAAAGCCATCTTACTATTTTTGGGGACATTCCCCATTTAAGGCCAATGGCTTTCCTGCAAGTATAGAGCGCGATTTTAGCCTTGTTAGCTCTATCCATAGTGTTTGACTTCCAGTCCAGTTTCCTGTCTAGCGTAATCCCTAGGTACTTGGCGCTATCGCTAAGAGATAGGGTTACTATATAGCCTTAAGTTTGGTATTTTGTACTTCCTGGTGAAGAGGGCGAGCTCTGTTTTGGATGGGTTCACACCTAGTCCATTTCTAACTGCCCACGTTGAGAGGACCCTAAGTTTGTCCGTCATGCGGTCACATAGAGTCTGGGGAAATTTTCCTGAGAAGGCAATTGCGACATCATCCGCGTAAGCGATAACTTTGCAACCACCCCCTTCTAGGGATCGCAGTAGGCTGTTAACCGCCACGTTCCAGAGTAGGGGTGAGAGTACGCCTCCTTGCGGGGTGCCTCTTCTGACGTATCTATGAATAGATTCTCCTCCTAGTGACGCCTCAACAGTCCTGTTTACCAGGATCTGCTCTATAAGGCGTATGGATTGATCGTCTATTCCTAGTCCTGTCAGAGCATTGATTATCGAGCTTGGTAGGATGTTGTTGAACGCACCTTCTATGTCTAGAAAAGCAATGAGTGCGTATTCCTTATCACTAAGTGCCTTTTCGACAAAAGTAGTGATTTCGTGGAGTGCCGTTTCCGTGGATCGGCCCTTCCTATACGCATGCTGTGACCCCGAGATATCATCTGAGTTTATAGTAAGATTAATGTGGAGGCTGATTAGTCTCTCCATTGTCTTGAGAAGGAAGGACGACAGGCTTATTGGTCTGAAGTCCTTGGGGGCGCAGTGAGATGGTTTTCCCGCCTTGGGTATAAATACGACTTTCGTCCGCAACCACATTGCGGGTACGATGCCTATTCTGAAAATTGCTGAGAAAGCTTTCTTGACCCAAGATCTCAGGTTGGGGCCGGCTTTAATAAGTTGAGCCGGGACAATGCCATCTGGGCCCGGGGATTTGAAGGGCTTGAAGCTATTTATTGCCCAGCTGAGATACCTATCACTCAATAGGTATTTAAGTTGGTTAGCGGTGGAGGGGCTATTCCCCTGTGTCCGCATTTCCAGGGTTGTATCTTCTCGAGAGCAACCCGGGAAATGTGTCCCTATGAGAGCCTCTAGGGTTTCTTTGCTGGACGATGTCCAGTTACCTTCTGAGGTTTTAATGTATCCTACATTTGGTGCAGTAGTTGCGAGGACCTTCCTGAGTAGGGAGGCCTCTGACTTTTGCTGAATGTTCGTACAGAACTTGGCCCAGGCATTCCTTTTTGCCTTGCGAAGTTCTTTGTTATATCGCCTAAGGTCCGCTTTATACGACTCCCAGGCTGTTTCCGAGTTTGTTTTCCTGGCGAAATAAAAGGCCTTGCGGGCCGTGGTTTTAAAGGGCGCAAGTGTTTGCGACCACCATGGTGGTTTCTTTGACTTGCTATTGCCCGATCTGCTTTTGGGACAAGCTTTATTGAATGCCCTGGTGCACGCTGCCGTGAGCGTGTCCACCATGGCATCCAGGGCTACCCTACTATCAACGTTCCCTGTTGGAGGATTTCCCAAGGAACTCTATCTTCTTTCTATATAACTCCCAGTTCGCTTTCCTCGGGTTGCGTACCGTTAGTCGATTAAAGTTCCCGAAATTGACCGATAATTCTATGTATCGGTGGTCTGAGAATGAGTGTTTCTCTAGGACTCTCCATCTAACAATCCTGTCGCTAGGGATTCAGAGTAAAGAGTGACGTCAAGTACTTCCCTTCTGTTCTTGACTCGAAGACTAAAATCGAAGATTGACTCACCCCTCTCGTTCGTGTCAGTGCTGCCCCACTGATGATGATGCGTTAGCATCGCAACCTATGATCAGGTCGATCTTGTGCTTCCTGCTGTCTTCCACCAGCTGTTTGATTAGCGGGTGCGGGGGAAGGGTCTCCTGGTCGTGGCCCATATACGCCGAACATATCCTTAAAGGGCCATTTGGGCTCTCTACGGCTGCGGCTACGTGGTCTTCATTGCTGAAATTGGGTAGCAAAAAGAGGTTAAGATTCTTTTTTGCGAGGATGCAGGCTCGCCTTTTACCTGTAGTATCGGCTTTGCAGAGCCTGAACTCCGACGCCCCCAACCCAAGAATCCTGTCTCCTAGGATCCAGGGTTCCTGGATGAGGGCCACATCAGCTCCACTCTCGGCGAGGTGGAGTAGGAGGGCAGCTGACGCCGCTTTACTGTGGTGGAGGTTTATTTGTAAGATCGTCAGGGACATCCTTACAAGTCTCCAACACAGTTATTTCTGCCTCCGTCTCGGAGCCCAGCAGAGAGTCCTCCTCCATTCCGACTCCACCAAGTGCCCTTGCCAAGTCGCTTTCCTCCGAGGTGTACCCTTCCAGAATGTCCTCCTCCTCATCCGACATTCCTTCCGGCTGCCCCTCTTCGGTCGGCTTCTCCAAGTCTGGCTCTTGTGTGTCTGCCTCCAGACCGATACCTCCTGGCTTGGCCTTCGCATCGGATTTATAGATACGGACCGAAACATGCTCGAATCCGTACTTCAGCCGGTGCTCCGTCCTCTCCAGGGCTTCAACGGTCTCCTCGTTTAGTGTGAGGACGACCTGCCTCCGCAGTCCCACCGCCTCCTCGACCTTGGCGACTCTCCAGTCCGCCGTGAGGAGCGTCGGGTTGCACATCCTAAGCATTGTTAAGATGGTTTTCGGGTCGGCTGGCTTTTCTGTGACCCACACTCGCGCCCGCGCCCTTGTCCAGGACTCCAATTAAGGTTCTTCCCTTCGTTACTTCGGCGAACGAGCGGTTGGACGGCTGCGGCTGGGCCTTCCTCTTCTTGGCCTGGGGGGCTTCTCCCTCTGTGGACCTCTGCCTTTTCGCGCTTTGCGCGGCCTCCTTGGCAGGGTCTGACCCAGTACGTCTCTTCGGATCCAGCCTTTCTCGCGCCTTTTCCGGATTAAAGTCGGGTAGGATCTCCCTTGCCCACTTAATAATCTTGGCCTGGTCCGGGTTGGCTTCGGCCGATGGGTCCGCCCTCATCAGAATGAAGGCTGCTCTTCTTCTGTCCTTGTAGGAGCCTTTACGCTGCTTCGAGTGAGGCGCTTCCGGACCAGGGTTCGCCTTAGGGGCACCGCCGGTTGGTTTAGAGGTTGACCCTGGGGTCTTCCTCTCCACACCGTTCGGTGGTCCCATAGCTAGCCCTGCTTTGGAAGAAGTTGCCTTGGCAACCTCCTCCGCACCGGCGCGTCCCGCCTCCAGATGTTGCCCCTCTGTGGGGGGCTTCTCCATCTCAGCAACTCCTTGGCTTTTGAGGGCTTTGGAGTTTGACGGGCCATTGACCCCATTTCCGGTATTTTTTTGGGAGTTCCGCTCTCCACTTTGGTTTTTGTTTGTTAAAGAAATATTCATGTTTTGGTCCCACGAGTAGGCGGGAAGGGGCTCGTCCATCATGACATAGCCCGCTTGTCACAATAAGCCTGGTTAAAACTGGGAGGTCGGCCGGTCCCCCAGAGTTCGCATATTAGCGTCCGAGCCCCCCCTCGGACACGCATCCTTCGGCATATGCTGTTCCACCTTGGATTGGGGTGATTTAAGGAAGGGAGTGTTCTTCTCCCCGCCCGACTACCATTAGCCAGCATCCTCGGCAGAGACATGATCTTACCGGGACCTGTTACCAGCCGCCCTCACGTGGAGAGTATAGTCGCACTACCAGCGGTGTACACAGTTACGGCACGCAATGGCTTGTGCGTAGGTCCCCCTTTTGTACCCGTTGGCTGACGGCTTACGACCTATAAATTTCTGGCGGCTTTCGCACGGTTGAGGTCCTGGAGAGGATGCCCCCGTCGGAGAGGATGCCGTCAAGTGCAGTCCGACAACGGGAAGACCTTTGTAGGGGCAGCTGCTCTACTATCTTTGAAATAGTAGAGAAATACATCTTTGAGGAGCTGGCTACTCTCCTGGCGAAGATCGAGGCGTGCCTGAATTCGCGGCCATTCGCGCCAATGTCCGAAGACCCTGCTGATCTGTTGGCTCTTACACCCGGGCACTTTCTTGGGGGAGGCCAACATCTCGCCACGGTCGAGCCCGAGATAAAGGAGGATACAACTACCATCATTAATCGCTGGCAACACCTCAAGGCTCTTCATCAGCAATTTCGGCTGCGATGGAAGGAAGAGTACCTCAAGGAGCTTCATAAGAGGGATAAGTGGCGAGCCCCAACAAGGGATCTCCGCGTTGGGGATATGGTCGTCATCAAGGGGGACAATCTTCCGTCCAATGAGTGGCGTTTAGGCAGGTTTGACGCGGTGTATCCAGGATCCGATGGCCATGTCCGCGTGATCCACATCCGCACCGCGCGAGGGCTCGTCAAGCGTGCTTCTTCCGTTGGAAGCGTCCGCCTACCCACAATAATTAATTCATTAATTAATTACTCACCGTAGTTCCGAACAATCATTCACACCGATTCTAATAATGTTTTTTGTTCCTTCATCATATTT